CAATAACAATAACAACAACAACAATAACAACAACAACAACAATAATAATAATAATAATAATAATAATAATAATAATAATAAAAGAATATTTATTTATGGCTATTAATTATCAACATGTTTTATTAATTTGGATCATCAGTTGGTCAATAATATGTATATGAATGGGTGCAGTTTTCAGGAAGTGTGACATATAATGGACATGGGATGAAAGAATTTATAGCACAAAGGACAGCAGCTTATATAAGCCAACATGATGTTCATATTGGAGAAATGACTGTAAGAGAAACATTAGCATTCTCTGCAAGATGTCAAGGAGTTGGAAGCAATCATGGTACACTTTTTTCTTTTTTATTATTTTTATTATTTTTTTTTTCTTGCTAACCTAAATAGAATGAGTATCTGAAAATTATGTGCAAATAATTACAACTTCGGTGGGGGTGAGCAAAGCTGCACCGAAACCGAATCGAACCGATACCTTTGGTGCGCGCAGTGCGTTTTTAGAAGATTCGGTTTGCGTGCGGTTTGAATTTTAGAAAACTGCAAAAATTTGGTGCGGTTCGGTTTTGAGTATGAATGGTGCGGTTTTAACCGAACACCGAAACTTTGGTGTGTCAAATAAAAGTGCTAGTATATTACCTTAAACTCTTAAAGTCTCACACCATTTTAATTTCATAATTGATTAACTTTAAAGTTTTGTTTTACACAGAGTGTGTTTTGTATTACAAAGGGAACCTATGAACTGACTGAAAGGTTCAGTTCGTACAAGAAGAACTACAACAAAATAAAATTATAACTCGAATACGGAGAGATTTGAGCCGAGGCGATTGAAATCTATCCGCAAGACAAATACGCCCCGTGTAGTGCTGACGGGTTAGTGCGTAATGCCCCTAAAGATACAACGGCTTTAACACTCGGAAGCTGTAGCACACCAGCCTTCAGAGTCCAGGCGAACAAGAATGAAGTCAAGAACCGAGCACTATGATATGATGCGTGAGGCTTTGAGAGTATCATATTGCATGAAAAATGTTATGTATTTCACTGCAGCTCTAAGTCCTATTTATAGGACTCCCACTCCTTGAGGGAAACCAGAAGTCACATCTGCCACTTAAGGCAGAGTTTATGAGCAAAAAACGTTTCTGGTGTTACTACACCATTAACCAGGTGTTACTACACCATTAACCAGGTGTTAAGGCCATTAACCAGTCATTAACATCCACCTGAACAGTCACATTTCACTCGGGTTGGGTCAAAACCGAGTCCAAATTCAACTAGAATTGGATTTATTATTTTGGGCCTAAAGTTGCAAATAAATTTGCAGCAAAAAGATATATACTGATTGGGCCCAAGCCCCAAGCCCC